GGGGCCTTGTTTGCTACACAAGAAACACAGATGTTTGGCGGCTAAACAATCCTTAATAATGCACTCTAGAGTTTGTAGAGGAGGTAGTAAAAACTTGGGCTTGTAAATTGCGTAAGCCGTTATGATGTTGTCGAAGATTCCATTTCTAACGATGGTTGAAGTTAAGCTAATTCTGCGTGCAGAATAGTTTTGCTTTCAATGGGCCATCAGTAGTAAGCCATTCAGAGTTATTACTTTCTAGGGCTGCGTCGTGTAGCTGATACGGCTGCTACGCTCTGTGTAGCTATTACGCTGCTATGTCGTGTAGGGCTATACACGCTACGCTCGTGTAGCTATACTGCTGCTACGGCTCGTGTAGCGTAATCGCTGATACGGCTCTGTGTAGCCTATAGCGCTGCTAGCGCTCGTGTAGTTATAACGCTGCTAACGGCTCGGTGTAGCTTATACGCTGCTTACGCTCGTAGTAGCTATACGGCTGCTTACGCTCGTGTAGACATACGCTGCTACCTCAGTGTAGCTCTATATTGTAGCTAATATGCTGCTACGCTCCTCGTAGTGCTATGATATTGTAGCTATATGCTCTACGCTCGGTGTAGCTATTACCATGCTACGTCTCTGTCTATGCAGGGAACGCCACAAGTAAATGGAAACCTACATCGTACTCTAAAGCGTGACGGAGGTGGACAAGCCAGCTCAAGGCGCGTCTTGTGAATATGTTCATACAAGACTCCGCAGATCCTGCCTGGCTGTCCCGTCAAGTACGTTCATGGACAAGGTAGACAGTGTCAAGTTTTGTACAAGATACACGTTTTCAAACTGCAGTGCTCATTCTAAACTTGGGACTGGACTGGATCTCACAAATGTCGGCGCCAAGCGAATAACGATCCTGTGAAAGTTTACGCGGACCCACGGCAGAAATAGTCGGCAGATGGTAACGACGCAACTATAACGTACGGTTAGGCATTTAGCCTTCAGGCACTGGCTAAACCGCACGCACGACCATCGAACAGTGTCGCAGACGACATCTAACATCTTAGAAACCTAAAATCTTAAAAACGCAACACGCAGAACGAATGCACTGTACGTTGGACTAAATAGATAAGTGTGTATGGTTTCACCTACCTGCATGCTCGTTCTCGTCTCGTTCTCTCTCCTCCTCAACTAGTATTGCACGCGTTTCGTCTCATCCATGCGTCTTCTGACCAGGATCCATGGCCGTAGTTGCGGCCTTGCGTCGGTGTGATAAAGGAATGGCCGTTCTCCTAATAAAAATTCTGACTACTCGATCGCTCAACGAGGCCGACGGTCATCAGCATGCGTGAAACAAGAGAGGCGATCGCATAAGGTGAACCTCGCGCAGCAGCGCGTTCGCCTATAGTCAGGAAAAGATCGCAGCAGGTGGCAGCAGATGCCGTACAGGAACCTGCGCACCCAGCTGCCGCTGTTCCAGCACAGCATGAACCTTTACCTCGTCGAACGAAAGGACACTGAGTTCATACTGTTTCATCCGATACGGGTAAGATCGTTCTTCACACATCGCTATTGACTCAAGCTAACATGTATGTTGAGCCTAACAGGGAATGAACGATGAACGGTGGTTTACGGTTTGTTCGTAGACGTTCGCAGCAAAGTGTGCAGGCAGAGCTTTCAGGAGTTCATCAGCATCGTCAAGGGACAGCTACGAACCGGAGGAACAACAGATCATCGCATGGCCCCTCCGCTGAACAGGTATGAACATGAACACGCGTCATGGAAAGTCCTTGAAATTTAACTCGTGTTTGTCTCATCTGAGACTCTGTGAAATTATAATATATATATATATATATATATAAACCTCTGTTGCTTCATGTGAGAGTTTGTTCACTGGTTTGTACGATTGGAAATGCAGATATTGCATTCGGCTAAAATCTTGTCGTTGAAGAAAGTAGAAGTTTCCAGGAGTCAAGGAAACTTCTACTTTCTGCAACGACAAGATTTTATCCAAATGCAAATCTTTGCACCTCGTGACATACAAACGAGCGATCCGTAAACAAACTCGCACACGAAGCAAATTTCCAAGATTGCATTCTGAGATAAAATCACGCGGGAACAGAAAGATAACGTTTCGAGTCCAGGGAAACTCCATGAAAACTCCCGTAAAAATTTCGCAGGGAAGGTGTTTACGATCACGCGTTGTGATGAGATGTTACATGCGTTAATGATCCAGATGTTACATGTTACAGATCAACTTGCTGCTGTCATCTCCATACGTCCGACCGTCCCCGCAGGACGCTTCCCAGAATGCAGCGCGCACGCACGACGCCGCGCCGAGCGTGAACACCCACGGAACCCACGGAACCCATGGAACCCACGGAACCCCCGGAGATGCCAATCACACATCACCCATCGATGAGGGGGAGGGGACAGAGGGGGAGGGGGTCACAAACGATGGGGGAACCAAGGAGGGGGTCACAAACAAGCGTGCAGGAGAGAAGGAGGTCGTAAATGACGTGGAAACCAATGGGGAGGGGGTCACAAACAAACTGGTAGGAGAGGGGGAGGGGGTCACAAATGATGTGGTAACTGAGTGGGAAGGTGTCATAAACAAACTGGCAGGTAATGGGGAGGGGGTCACATCCAAGCTGACAGGGGAAGGAGAGAGGGTAGATCATGGTCTAGTAGACGAGGGGGAGGCAGCGGTAATACACCAGGTGGCAGCAGCGGACGCGAAGTCTCGGCACAACAGTTCTCGCGCGACGACGGTGAACAACAACGTCGGCACGGCAACCGAGGGAAGCCGCGTGTTGCCGTCGGTTACGGGACCTCAACCTTCGGACTAACCATTACAGGGCGACACCAACCGCTCTAGTACTTTTCTTTGCGCTGTTACGTAACAGAAAGATTGTCTAACGGGAGGTAGTGATGAATGTTATCCATAGTAGGAAATTGTGTGCATTGCGAGTTGTAATAATCACATCATATCTAGCGAGCAGTGAGAATTGTCTTACCTGCGTGATAGGGAGAATCATGAGTGCATGTATAAATGGTAATTATTATTCCTTGAGATGAGAGATTCATCCGTCTGAGCAAGAGACGTTCTCTATCGTAAATATTGTTTCAAGGTCGGTCAAGGTCACCCAGTTTGTATGCGTTTTTCTCACGCATACCCACCAGGCTGTCGCCCTTGTGGCACTTCATGCCGATTTCACTTGACATTTCCATCATTTTTTAGAGCGTCGTATTGCAGCAGCCCCCCCTGCCCCTGCCCCTGTCAATCACTGTAGGTCGATAGTTAACACTAGCCAATCAGCAATGCGATAGAGGCATTCTAAAAGTGCTGCTTTGTAACAAAGTGCCACAGCGTTGACAATTTGGCACGCAGGCGTGAAACGCGCGTACAAACCGATCTAGCTTTACTCACCTAGTGACAATATCTGAGCAGCGCAGGGCGTCGTTGACTCACTCGGACGTATCGGCGACACACCAGCTGCCTGGTCTCTATATATTACAGGGGCGTGTACAGGATTTGGACCGGGGGGGGCTCTAACTGTAACCCATACTTGCGAGCAATCGAAGGGGGGGTCTGGGGGGCCCTCCTCGAGAAAAATTTTGAAATTAGACCCCCTCAGATGCGTTTTCTGCGCGAGCAGGGGCGGGTCTGGACCCCCTGGACCCCCCCCTGTACACGCCCCTGTATTACAGTAGCTTTCCTTCGGGGATATTCCTAACAATCCATTACCAACAATATACACGTATCATTATTTGCAGCTGCATCTACTTTAGTTTATGAGTTGGGCGGTACAAGCAGCTAATGCCCTTATAGGTTTATTCAGTAGTATATTATATAATGTAATCTGGGTTTGGTGTATAATAACATGGCGTCTGTGATAAGTGATTTATTCTGAAGAGTTAGCCATTTTGAAAACGAACTGACCTGTTAACTTGGTGATGACAGTCTTTGCCTCGCTGCCTTCATTGCAGTAGTTGGAGCACGAATGCGTGGGTACGTGCGTGCAAGCGTGTATCTGCGCACGACTTGTGTGTGCGTACCTGCATACATGTGCGTGCTTGCATACTTGTGCGTGCGAGCATACATGTGCGTGCCTGCATACTTGTGCGTGCGCGTTCATGCGTGTGCATGCGCGTTCATGCATGTGCATGTGCGTGCGCGTTCATGCGTGTGCGTGCGTGCATGTCTATGCGTGTGTGTGTGTGTGTGTCTGTGTGCGCGTACACGCGTGTCCCTGTGTGTTGCGACTAATACAGCTTTGTCATTGCCAATTTTATGTTTTAAACTTTTTATATACACGTGTGTGCACGTCAGTAGTTAGTGAAAAGTTAGTTGTTTGCTAGAGTTCACAACAACAGGCGTTTCACAACAACATTACAAGGACCCGTGATCAAAAACAATTAGTCTTAACATTACATCATTTTCGTAGACTGGACCTCTATCAACTGTGTAAAGACCAACTCGTAGCATCACGATCTTTCAATGTTAAGTCGAATGTCAAGACTAATTTTGTTTCTGACAACGGGCTCCTGGGTGGGGGTCAGGGTTAAGTTAGCATTCAGCGGCAATTCACAAACCAAAAATGAATGCAAAGAAATCTCACATCGTCGAACAAATGAAACTACGCGAGTCTGTAAGATAACATGTGCATGAGACTTTGTGGTCAGGGTGTCGATAGGTGCTGCCGGTAGGTGGCGCTGGTGCTGGATTAGCTGTGTCAGGTTTAATATATTCTCTTTGCTGGTGTATATATATAATCGAAGTATGGCCTCCTCTGCTGGCCAGAGAACTCACATATTACAATAATACCTTCTGTTTTGGGGGAGCTGTTACAATGACCCTACTACTACGACTAATAATTATACTAATTATAATAATAATACTAATTATAATAATAACGTTAGTTTATAGCATGCGAGTGATTGGATACGGAATGTCATTTCTGTGCATGTGTGTGTGGGGGGGGAGCTGGTATAAGGAACAGTCTTTACTGCCATTGCCAGCATTATGTAGCTGTTCCAGTGTAATACACTGTTTGGGCCGTCACCAAGTAGGAAATCATACTAGTTTTCACGGCCTACATGTACGACAGAACACTAGAGTGGAATAAATGATTGTACGAACACATGCATCGTCGCTTCACTTCGATTTTTGGAAAATAAATATTGTCGGTTTTATTCATCAATCATAGGCACACGTTTACTATACAAATAACGACATTAAAAGTTCATATCAATGTTAATTTGCAGAGACACACATAATTATGTAGTAGATAAAGAGCGCAGTCTACTTAATACCTGCGCTGACGAAGACTTCTCGCGATACATGACTCGCATTTCGCTGTGCGTATCCGACGACCGCCCCCTGCCGTGACATCATCGTGACCTCTCACGACCTCAGAACCATACTAACAACTTCCTGTTCCTGTCGCAGGTGAAGAGGGAGTTTCCGTTGGGATGCCAGGAGCAGCACATCACAGAACCCCTGAAAGCAGACGCGTTAATGCAATCACGTCTTCATGGCAACGCCCGTCAATCCACGGCCGTGGCCCGATCAAGGGGAATGTCGCCTTGTATTTTGGGGGAAATACGATTGGTCGATCGGCACTTGTATCGGTACTTACGATTGGTCCTTGTCCTTGAGCACGGTCTCCACCTTCCCCGTCGTCGTGCTCCAGATATAGATGGCGCTGTCCGTCGAGCCTGCGACGGCGTATTGTCCGTCGGGTGAGAATGCCGACCTCGCCCAGTCTGCTGCCACGTGGAATCCGTCCGCGCTGAAGAAACATCACGCTGTTACCTTACACCATTCCCCCCTACGCCGTGGGTGTCGTCTACCTCACAGAAACATCTATACACGTCTTGTTCTCCTTCTTGTAACACGCGATTACATCTAGCCACCATGAAAGAACTGTGAGCGAATCAATCCTCACTCTATAATTCAAATCTCAACACAACCCTGACCATCAACACACATTCTGTCCTCCGGTAGAGAAGGGGAAAGGGTTTTTTCGTCTCGATTGCTATTCACTGCTGTTGCACGCACGGGTTCTTCTTAAAAAGACCTAGTAAGTGTCATTCGAGCAACGATCGCGGATGATGGAGGAGGCACGGTGACCACTCACCAGAGCAGAATTGTAATTCAGATTTATTGTAGAGCATCGATACTCGAACGTCGCACAGCTGCCAGGGTTTGTATCGTGGAGCATTGATACGACTCGCAAACCTCAGGCTCTTTGTATCGTGATGCATGATACGTCGTACACCTGCAGGGTATTGTATCGTGTCGCATGGATACGTCCGTACACCTGCCAGGGGTTGTATCGTGATGCATTGATACGTACGCTACACGCTGCAGGGTTGTATCGTGATGCATTTGATCCGGTCGTACACCTGCAGGGTTGTATGCATGCATTGACGTGTCATCAGGCGTTGTATTGCACTATCGTGCGTACACCTGCAGGGTTTGTATCGTGATGCTTGATACGTCGTACACCGTGCAGGGTTTTGTATCGTGATGCATTGATACGTGCGCTCACCGCTTCTAGGTTGTGTATCCGTGAGCATTGCATCACGTCGTACACGCTGCAGGGTGTATCTAGCAATTGAATTCCTGCACGCTGACTATCGTGCATGTACCCGTACACCTGCAGGTTTGTATCGTGATGCATGATACGTCGTACACCTGCAGGGTTTGTATCGTGATGCATTGATACGTCGTACACCTGCAGGGTTTGTATCGTGATGCATTGATACGTCGTACACCTGCAGGGTTTGTATCGTGATGCATTGTACGTCGTCACACCTGACAGGGTTGTTCGTTATGCATTGATACGTCGTACACCTGCAGGGTTTGCGTATCGCTGATGCATGTGATACGTCGTACACCTGCAGGTTTGTATCGTGATGCGATTGATACGTCGTACACCTGCCAGGGTTTGGTTATCGTCATGCCATGTATCGTCGTGACAAGCTGCAGGGTTGTTGATCGTGATGCATTGTTTACGTCGTTACACCTGCAGGTTTGCTATCTGTGATGCATTCGATACGGCGGGTCACCTGCATGTGGTTGTATCGTGTACAATTGATACGTCTTACACCTGCACGCTTTGTATCGTGGCATGTGATACGTCGCACACCTGCATGGGTTTTGTATCGTGAATGCATTTGATAGTCGCCAACCTGCAGGGTTTGTATCGGTGATACATTGATACGTCGTCACACCTGACGGTTTGTATCGGGATGCATTGATACGTCGTAAACCTGCAGGGTTGTATCGTGATGCATGTGATACGATCGTACACCTGCAGGGTGTGGATCGTGATGCAGTTGATTACGTCGCACACTGCCAGGCGTTTGTATCGTGAGCATGTGATACGTCGCACACCGGCAGGGTTTGTATCGGATGCAGTGATACGTCGTACACCTGCAAGGTTTGTATCGTGATGCATTGCCTGTATGTGTGACTACTCACCAGAGCGTGCGTAGAACCTTCTCCTGTCTCAGGTCAAT